CAAAGGCTGCTCTGATGAGCAGAATCCAGAGGCTTACAAAACTAATTCTCGTTTCTTCAAAAAATTCAATTCCAGGCTATTTGGGTGATGTCTCTTCCCATCAAGGAAGCCTATCTGCTTGTGAAGATGATGTATGCCCTCTCGCCCTCTTAATGCGACTGATAAAAGATGCTTTTGGTGGTTTATGCTCCTCTTTTGCTGATCCATTATCTGATCAAATCTTAATATTGATTCACTAATCTCGAGGATTTAGATTGGTTATTCAAGGCGTACTTTGTAATCGTTGGCATTTTTACTAATTAATTATCTGAAACTAGGATCACAGTTCACTCTGAGAATACATTTTTTAGATTTTGATCATCCCACATAATGGTTTATTGAAACAATTATACATGCTGAAACAACTATGCGTACATCATGCATATTTCATTTGAAGTTAGTGTCCATGCATATTTGCCTTCTGCACTTTCATGATATTATTGCGTACTGATTTTCTTAATTTTTATATGCCTTCCCCTTTCATCAGAAGTTGGATGCTTTGCGTGAAGGTTCTTTGCTGACAAACAGACAGAGCCAGAATATGCCATCAGATGCTTCAGTTTTTAAGCACCAAAGATCTTCCAGCAACTGGAATGATGATTTATCACAGGCTGGTAGTACAATTACCGAATCAACTCAAGTGGGTGAACTTATCAGCGGTTCTTCCAGCTCAAAACAGCCTGCGGTATGTCTCTCCATATTGTTGTTTTCATGTTCAACATCATAAACCATAATCATCAACATCATCATTCCCTCAATCTCAACTATGCTTGGGTTGGTTGCATGAAAATTGTAGTATCAGTTCATTAACATGCAGGGCAGTGGTGTGAGGTGTAGTGTCTATTAATTGTCTAAAACTAGTTAATACTCAAAGTTCATGGGTAGTGATGACGTCACAGGAATTCCTTCCTATAGCAACCTTCTAAAAAACAGAGAGTTGAAATTATGAAATCATCATTAATCATTATCATAAGTTTTTTCTACTTTCATATAAAACACATCATGAGATTAAGTTAAGTTGAGATAGTAGTTGGTCATATCCTATTTCAAAATTGATTTCTTAAAACCACCACGCATATCATGGGACAATGACTGCAAATTAATAGTACTTAATAGTTCCCAAAATTAGACAACAGTGTAAATTCATGCTCAAATAGTGAAATACAAATAGCAAAGTTTGATGTCACATGCCCTTCTTCACATCATTCTTATGAAAGTGTACTTGATGAAGTTCCAAACCCGTCATCATACATTTCTTTCTTTGCACTCTTATGGAAGCATTATCTTACAATGATGACTTGAGATGGGCTCTGTAGTCACATCCAATCACAATTTTGATATTACAATATAACATGCATATCCCAAAACCTGTCCATCGTCCTACTATTTCAGATAACCACTTCTTCTCCGTTTTTCCCTGGTTGGCTCTATAGGATGAAATTAGTATTTCAGACCAGATGGACCTTTTAGTTGAGCAAGTCAAGATGCTTGCTGGAGATATTGCATTCAGCACCAGTACACTAAAGCGCTTGTTGGAGCAGTCTGTAGGTGATCCAGAGAGCTATAAAAGCCAAGTATGTGTTTGTTCTCATATATGAATAAAGATGTATTGTACAATAGTTTGCTTACTTTGTGGGGGGCTTCAGAAATCTGAATCGCACTCTACATTGCTATAACATGCAATGCTATGTATGAAGTACACATATTCTGGAATGTGTATTCATAAGAATTGACTCAATGTTTTCTGTAGATCCAAACTTTGGAGCGTGATATTCAGGAGAAAAGAACACAAATGAGAATCTTAGAACAGCGAATTGTAGAGAGCGGTGAAACATCAATTGCTAAAGCATCTATCGTTGAGATGCAGCAGGTTATCTGAATTTGTTCACTTCAATGTGTTTACATATTTCATATGAATGTAATTTATACTGCAGATTGTATTTTAACGTTATTAGTGATTATTATTTTCTATCCGTCCTTTCTGGTAACATTTTTTTGGTATTTAACAACAGACATTGACGAAATTGGTGGCCCAGTGTGGTGAACAGGGTTTTGAGCTTGAGGTTAGTACCGACATGAGATTATTAGTACTCGTGTACCATTAAACCTTTCATACACAATGCTCTTTAAAGTCTAAATTTTGGGCTGCAGATTAAGTCTGCAGATAATCGCATCCTTCAAGAACAGCTGCAGATCAAGGTAGCAAAATTGTTTGACTGTCCCTTTTCACAAATTTTTGCCTCTTTTGAATGTTAGCTTCTTTTTCTATCAATTTCCTGCTCTCATTAGATTACTCAACACAATCATTGTTCACTTTTTATTTGCAGTGCTTGGAGAATGAAGAGCTGCTAGAGAAAATTAGTCACCTGGAGCAGCAGTTATCTACACTCAAGAGTGAAAAGTCATCACCCTCTTCTGAACAGTGTGTGCCAGATGAATATGTAGATGAACTTAGAAAGAGAATTCAGATTCAGGTAACCGATAATCTGTAAATATTAAACGTTTCCATCTCCAAGTGCATGTATGGTTCACGGAAATGGCTAGGGAAGGACATTTTTTTAAAGAATGGGTCCTAAGTGTAGATTTGCTTAGGAAAATGCAAGGGAAAGCAGAATTTGATATGAACTATCTTTTTTCAGGTGTTTAGTTTCTAATCTTTAAATAGTACTCCGAAAATGTAAGAAATTGATTTTGAACAAATATCTAAAATAAATTTAGTTAAAGCATTGCATTCTCCCGTTCCCATTTGTCTACAAGTTTTCCTTAAAATTCTCTTTGTTGTTATTTTCCGAGTTCCTATGGAACCAAAGTGTTACTCAAATGTAAGTATCGTGATCAAAACCAATTAAAACAAATGAGAGATCGTGACTATACTTATTTGGTTGATTTTCACTCTGATCAGGAGATTGAGATTGAGAAATTGAAACTAGAACATGTTCACATTGTGGAGGAGAACACTGGACTTCGTGTACAGAACCAAAAACTGTCTGAGGAGGCTTCGTATGCAAAGGAATTAGCCTCAGCTGCTGCTGTTGAACTTAAAAACATAGCCGGGGAAGTCACCAAGCTTTCATTACAGAACACAAAAATGGACAAAGAATTATCTGCTGCTCGAGAGAAGTTGATGAACTCTAGTAGGAGTTCCAGTGTGCAGACCGGTAATGTTGGGAGTCGCAAGTACACTGAGAGTTTGAGAATGGGTCGTAGGGGTTATACATCCGGCCGTGCGAATGAAGTCTTTCATGATGACTTTGACACATGGGACCTGGACCCAGAAGATTTGAAGATGGAATTACAAGCAAGGAAACAGCGAGAGTTTGCTTTGGAGGCTGCCTTGGCTGAGAAGGAGCTTATAGAGGATGAGTACCGGAAAAGGGTTGAAGAGGCAAAGAAAAAGGAAGCTGCTTTGGAAAATGATTTAGCTAATATGTGGGTGCTAGTTGCACAGCTGAAGAAAGAAAACGGTACTAGACGAGAGTTGAAGGCTAATGAGAAGCAGAGTGATGCAGTGGACAACAGCATTGTAAATGGTAGGGATCCTGTGTGTTCAGAGCTCCAATCCCTGGATCACCCATCTCCACCGCCTGTCATTCCAAAAGAAGAACCTCTTGTTGCACGCCTTAAGGCAAGTTAGTATCCCTTCACTCATTCCTATCGTTCAAACATATTTTTTTGAAACAAGAAATGACCTATTAAATTGGACCCAGCTCACCTGAAGAACCATCAAATTATGAGGTAAAAGATTTTGTGTAACAGCAAGTAGTATATTTTTCTGAGCTAGTCTACTATTTGCTTTACTATTTCATAATTATGTTAATGTAAACATTTATATGAACAGGCTCGAATGCAAGAGATGAAGGAGTTAGAGCGTAAGCACTCCGTGCAGTCGGGGAACGGGGATTCAAATTCACATGTGTGCAGAGTGTGTTTTGAATCAGCTACTGCTGCTATGCTTCTACCTTGCCGTCATTTTTGCCGTGAGTAGACTTCCCTGGGCTTTTGCTTGCTTCATAATTGCTTTCATTCCGACCCCATTGCTTTACATTACGGACTGATGCAAACTCAACTTTTGCAGTTTGCAAATCTTGCTCCCTTGCCTGTGCTGAGTGTCCAATTTGCCGGGCAAAGATTGTAGATAGAATTTTTGCTTTTACTTAGAGAGAAGTAAGAACTTCAAACCAAGGTTGTTAGAATGGAAATACCATCTCATATTACTTGCTGGATTTTTAACTGTAAATTTGTGAACTGATGTATAGTTTAGCCCCCCACCCCATGTCTCCGTGCAGGCTTGCAGGGTCTTCATTAAGTGTGTGCCCTCATATTGCTATCTCATATTGCTTGCAAATATTGCCCCATTCTTTGATTGGTTCGACTATGGGCAACGGGCAAGTTTGAAGCATTTGTAATATATGTGCATGTATCCTCTGGTAACTACAAATTTGGATTGCCAAAGGAGGCTACAAAGAGGACAAAATGTCGATAGATACGAAATGATTCATTAATGGATATTTCCTCGATTTTGATAACATGTTTGCTTGTAGTAATACATACTATCGTATATTTGTACGAGTTGATAAATGTCGTTATTCATTGACAAGTCTATACTAACTAACCTTATACAAGTTTTAGATATTATTCTGTATTAAATTTAAACAATTCAACTAATTTTTAAACAAGGACGGTTTTGAAATCAAATTTACTTCCATCATGTTGTAACAAATGAATCAGATTACTGATGGTTCCGTGGCAGAGGTCAGATCATTTATAATTTTATACCTCTTCTACATCTGTCTTCTTATTTTTGGAACTCTAGATCTATACTATAATGCATGCTTTGCTTCCCTAGCTATACTACTAAGTGTACTAACATACACATGGATGTGTATATATATATATATATATATATATATATATATATATATATATATATATATATATATATATATATATTAGGGAAAACTATCAGATAGGCCCTCCTACTATACCAAAAAAAGCGATTAAGCCCTCGTACCATAATATCAGCCAATTGAACACCTCAACTTTCTTTAAATGCCCAATTTCAATTATTAGCCGGTAAGATACCGGTTACCTGAAAAAATGCCCCCCTGGCTTCCTACGTGTCGCAAGCAATCCTCTTTGGCTTCCTCTAAATATCCCCGTCACTAATAATCCAAGTAAGCTATCCTCTCTCTCAGATGCAGCTAAACTCCAGAGCATTTATACCCTAGGACGTCGATTGTTCATCTCCAGAGGGCTCGGATGAGACGACAGTGAGCAATCGATAGAGAGCAAAGGATTAAGTTCCGTACATGTGAGGATGTCTGCTACTTCGATATCAACACCCCAAAAAGGAAGTAGCTGCACTCTTCATTATGAGCCTCCATTATACTGTAGTTGTGGTCTAAAGGCGCCTCTATGTGTTGCAAGAGAAAGCGGGAGGGCCTTTTATGGTTGTCAAAAATGGAAGGTAAAATTGAAATTATGTTAAATGTAATCTGATTGTGATTCTCCCTGAGATTGATGCGGTTTTTACACTTTCATCCAATTGATAGGCAGACGGTGTTAGCGGGTGTGGTTTTTTTGAGTGGAAAGACATTATTGAAGAAGGGTTTGGGACTGACCACCAAAAGAGGAGTGAAAAAATAGAGGAAAGAACTGATAAAGTGCAGCAGGTGTTGGCTAGACATGGTGAGCAGTTGAAACACATGATGAAAGTGATGCACAGTGAAATGGAAGCCAACAAGAGGTTCCGAAAACTGAATGGATGTGCTTGGATGCTCTTGTTTTGTATAGTAGCTATGGTGTATTTTCAACTAAGGAAGAGTGATTTGTACTTTTAGGTTATGTTTGAGTGAGGGATGTGCTTGTAATTTGTGTTGTTGGTAGGGAAACATTTGCCATTCATACGCCGTTGTTGATTGGTATTTATCAATTGTTGTAAGGGATATGTGTTTTGTAATTTACTAGTTGAAACACATGTTTTGCAACTATGGTAATGTTGTTTTAGTGTTCTGTTTAATAGGCAACTGCGGTTTAATGTTCTATTTATAACAGCTGCAAATATTTACCAATTCATCTAGTAATCACTTTCAATATGTGCACCAATGTACATCTATTAATCACTTTCAATAATTCTGCACCAATCCATACCAAAAGGTGCTGTAATACTTGGCAATTATAACAAAAACCAGGTCCAATAATTAACAAAAACGACCTGCAACACTTCCAATGAAAATCTGCTACAACACTAAGCAATTAAAAACATGAACTACAAAAACAGAACATAAACACTTATATTAAACTCATAAATGTTAACCATAACCGGCTGATGTTAATGTACAAAAACAGAAGTAGAGCCCACTACAAAACATCACAAAAAAGCATGCCATATTTGACCTCCACTACGACAAAATACCGGAGGCTCGTCAGGTTTTAAATTAAGAGTTTATAGTAAAGCTTCCATATTACATGAACAAAAAACACCTTCCAAGCGTTCATTACTAACTCTAAATCAATACTAAACATCACAGAGTGCAATTCCTTCACTTTCATCAGGTTGTGCCCCCATTATTGACCTCCGACTCACCTCGCTTACCACCAGCTCTCCCTCTTCCTTTGCCTCTAGTAGCAGCATCAGGTGTGGAAGTAGAAGTGGTAGGGCAAGTTGATCTATTATGGCCTTCTTTCTTGCATATTGTGCAAGTCATTATTCTCCCCTTTCTTGACGGTTGTGTTCCCGAGGAGTGATGTTCAGACTCTTCCCTCACTCTCTTCTTCTTTGGTCGTCCAGTCATGTTTTTTGGCAATGGAGGTAAGATCTCATCACCTTCAGTTCTTGGCCATAGCAGGTCACCATTAATAGGGTCTAAAGTGTATGCATATGTGCGTTTATACATATCTTTGGAGTAGCATGTGTGGATAAAGTCTTCAGGATCCAATCCTTTGTTAAAGATGGCACAAATTGCATGTGCACATGGGATTCCAGAGAGATCCCATCTTCTACATGAACATGACCTACCACTAAGGCTTACCTTGAACTGCTGCCTCCCTTTCTTGATCTCATATCCATCATCACCATTAAAATCCACATGCCAACCTTGACCAGCAAGAATGTTCTTATTCAGCTTCTTTGCAATCAATGGTCCACAATTTCCTACCCAATATTCAAACATATTTTTGCTTAGATATATATCAATCACATAACACATATGGATTCGTACATAACTTAACCATTTTATAATAACAAATGTACCTGACCACTTAAGCACTCCATTCCTCTTCTTACCAATCCTCCTCATCATCGCAACCCGGATGTCTTCCAACATGGGTATGAGTAGCTTTTCCCTGCACTTCAATAAAGTGCTATTGAAGGCCTCAGACAGATTATTCTCAACCGTGTCACACTTCACATCTGTCCAGAAATAAGCCTTACACCACAATTTAAAAGGGTACTTTTCCATGTCTTGAGCAGCTTCTGGGTCAAGCTTGCGTAGGTCATGTAGTGTGAGGTGTAATAGAGGTTCATTTGGAGATTTAGCACATGCCCAAAAATGTCTCCTAAGCACCATTCCACCATGCTTTTTGCTCCAATTTGCATGGATATGTCTAGCACAGTTTCTGTGCTCTGCTCCACTGAACACATGAGATATGACATTGGACAAACCCTACAAGGAAATTATTCAAATTAGTGAACTGAAATTTAAGTGAAGCAAAATTATTTTATACATAACCAATTTACTGTAAGTGTAAATATACAGATGACATACCTTTTGTTGATCAGAAATTAGTGTCCAAGACTCGGCCGTGGTAATCTCCAAGTCTTTCTTAAGAAGCTCCAGGAACCAGGTCCATGATGAACTATTTTCAATTTCAACCACAGCCCATGCTATTGGGTACATTTGGTTATTAGCGTCTCTTCCCACTGCAGTTAATATCTCACCCTTCAATTGGCCCTTGAGAAAACAACCATCTAAACCTATCACTTTTCTACAACCATCAAGAAACCCTCTCTTCACTAGACCAAAATAAATATAAATCCTTTGAAATACGGGAGGAGCATCAGGGACCACTCTCACGGTGTGGATGACAACAGTGCTGTTGGGAATAGAGTTGAGGCACTCCTGAGCATAATCCCTCAGTTTCTTGAATTGATCTTTAAAGGCAGGTTCTGTCTTCACCTTAATTTCTTTCAGAGCTCTAGTCACCATACTTATAGACACATTGATCTTTAGGTCTGCTTTGATGAGGTTTTTCAATTCTGTTGCACCTATAGAAGGGTTCTCTAATACCTTTTCCTCATACCTATCCGCAATCCAATTTTGACTTACAACCCTCAACTTAAATTTTGTATTACACAAATGTATTGGATTCAGCACCTTTACTTGGAAACAACGCAACCTGCGTTCCCAACTGGCTGTGCAGGTATATGGGCAATTTTTAGCACATTTGACCCTTACCCTCATTGGCTCGTTTTTTTTTAAATAAACGTCTTTCTTTTCATGGCAGGCATATCTGATAATAGCATTTTTAAATTGTCTACCATCTTCAAATAACATTGCTAACTCGATTAAAGGCGGCTCAGACTCTGGATTATATGAGGAATGTAAAGCACTCTTTTTATAACCATTACCCCCATCTGATTCAGCCTCTGAATCCATATAGTGTTCACTTTCACCGTCCTCACTTCCATCCTGTTCTGATTCATTCACTTGAGGCATTTCTTGATCATTTTCATCACGAAGGTCACACATTTCTTCTTCATTCCCATTCTGTTCACCTTCACCACAATCTACGTCAACTGCCTTCCTACTCTCTGCATGTGTGGCTGGTGTTTCATCTTGAGGGTGTGGCTCAAATGGCTCATTAGGGACAAGGAGTGGGTCAACTAATTCAACCTCGTCCAAGCCATGCTCAACAAAGACTTCAATTTTACCGCAATGACTGGCCAAATGTATTAAGTGCAATGTGGTCTTGTCGTCAAATAATTCATACAGTTCCCCCATTGGATCGTGCGATCTTTTGAAGTACAATCCTTGTATATTTCCATACCTTCCTGAGCGCAAACACTTCATAAGGTGCGGGTAACAAATGAAGTCTGGATCTATCTCCACACAATCAACCCCACCACCTTTATACATGGTTTTTGGGCGCTGAACAAATGTCCCTCCATGATGAATAATAAGTTGAACTTTATCAAACATCCTGAAATCTTAAAACAAGCAATAAAAAAACGATGAAAACTACACAAGTTGAAGCACATCAATCAACAATACCTATACTCTTCTACTCCCACGACATCTGAAATATATAAGCGAACCCTAGAAACAATATAATTTCACTCGTAGTGGCAATAAGAATGAAGTTCGTATATCAAAACCTCGTATTTCAGGAAGGAATACAATTACACATTCAATGAAACCATTCAATGATAAACACATGAAGAACCAAGGATTACGTTCAATGAACACCGGATTACCTGGAATTCGTAACCTCGCCTCTCTGTCACTCCGTGTCAATGGCTTCAACGGCTGTAATAGGAAGCAGGGACGGGAGTTAGGGATTTCAAATCGTCAAAGAAGGCGTCAATTTTTTGTGATGTTGTATACCTTTAGAATTAGCTTACTTGGATTATTAGTGACGGGGATATTTAGAGGAAGCCAAAGAGGATTGCTTGCGACACGTAGGAAGCCAGGGGGGAATTTTTTCAGGTAACCGGTATCTTACCGGCTAATAATTGAAATTGGGCGTTTAAAGAAAGTTGATGTGTTCAATTGGGTGATATTATGGTACGAGGGCTTAATCGCTTTTTTTGGTATAGTAGGAGGGCCTATCTGATAGTTTTCCCTATATAATATATCTATACACATGTATGAATCTCTTCAGGTTTTTTCTTGGAGATTGAATGTGTCGTATTAATGTGTCATATCATAATTAAAATGCACTAATATACGTGCGAGGGATACCGGCAAATTATATTATACACCCGGGTGTACATGTACACCCGATTTTTAAATGACGTGGTCTCACTCCCTCACTCCTCGTTGCTTTTATTTATTTCAGCCGCCATTCTTTTTCATTTTTTAGCCTCCATCCCGTCATCCTAGTTCATTTTATATTTGTTTTGTCTTTTTTATTTTATTTTTTCGTTACTTTTTTTCTCTTCTTTCTTTTTTCTTTTCGTTTCTTTTATTTTACTTTTTTGTCACTTTCACTTTAGTTAATTTACTTTAGTTAGTTTACTTTTTTGTCTTTTTTCTTTTTTTCTTTATTTTAAACTCAAATAATTATAGCGTCTAAAAAGAATAAACATATACAAATGAACATTTCAATTTTTGAAAACTCATTTTGTAAGTTATGTATGTCCATTTAGTACCTTTGTTATGCTGATTTTAAAATGTTTATCCATACATATTTCAAAAGTCTCATATTACCTTAGATTCGCATAGAATTTGATTATAGACACGAGACCACAAACCACGATACTCAATTTCATGATTCTAGTACCCAATAACGGAGGTTCGATGCTCACTGAAAATATCTTGATGTTCAACAAACAAAACATACCATTTTCATATCAGTGATCATCTTGTAAGTTACGAATGCTCATTTGTATATGTTTGATGCTCATTAAAAATTCATTAATGTTCATTGATCTCAATAGAGGAGGTTTGATGCTCAACAGAATAGGTTTGGTGCTCATTAAAAGTTCATTATTACTCATTCTCCAGAAGTCGTGATTTTCATCTCAATAGTGGAGGTTTGATGCTCAATTAAAATGTCATGATGTTCATCTAACAAACCTAACAATTTTCATATTAATGTGCACTTTGTAAGTTATGTATGCTCATTTGGTACTCATGTTATGCTCATTTTTACAATGTCATATCAATGTATATTTCAAAAGTATCATATTACATTAGACTCGCATATTGAAATTAATAAGAGTGAATTATAGATATAATTTAATAAATTTTTATAAAAGAAAA